CACGCGATATTCACCCGAATTCCTAACATACCTGTGACTCAATGAGGGCCCTATTCGTTAATTGCCATTCCTTTTCCGTGGTGATGGCAGTCCTATAGCATCTATCGCACAGTCCATTATTACCGGGGGTTTCCACATTAYAGCAGTACGTCAATGCGCATTTTTTAATCTTGTTTGGCTTGAGAGTCCGCGATAGCGACAGTTGGACAAGATGATCATTGTGTGCCGAGCGTCTCGCTTGTGTATAATTACTGATTTTCTTCCATTCTTCTCTGTTCTTCTCGTAGCATCTCGAACAGTAGTAGCTGTGCTCAGCGTTCCCATAGAACGTACAATTAGGAGCAATACACTGGATATTGGCGCCAGGAGAATTGACTGATGCAGGATTACCTGGCTGAGGATTCAAACCTGTTTTAGCAGAGGAGGGGGGCATTTGAAGTGGCGGGAGTTTCTGACGAGCAAGCGCAGTTGCTTTTCGACGTTCCTCTGAAGCACTGCCTGGTACTTGATTCTGCTCGACTTTTTCGGTTCCAAAACCAGCTGCGCCTAGACCAGCCTCTAGCCTTTCTCTTGACAGCTGTTCCATTGTTCTGGATCCARGCTCACCGGACGAAGGAGGAGAAGGACGGTGAAGTTGTTGTGGGACGTTTTCCGTTGCTTGTTGATAACGAGTCATAATACACTTCGTACACAAACTATGTTCATTCACAGGATTATTACACTTTGGTGTTGTGCAGAATAATCGATTATTTTCTTTGTCATCAGCGGGCTCACCACAGGGAAGGCCAGCGGCAACTGTCGGAGCAGGCGCAGTTGGCTTTGTGTTTGGCGACACCTTCATTTCTTTTGTTTTTGCCACGGTAACAAAGTGTTCGGCGTTCATGGGTCTTATATTATAGCACTCGGTACAACGACCTCCATAAGAGGGAACCCCTTTGTTTTGACAACACGCTACGACGCAAAGAGATCCCTGGTTTGCCGAGGTTTGACCAAGATGCGCGGGCGATGAAAACTGCGGTTGGGGAGAGGTTTGAGGTAATGAAGCCTGTGGTGAAGGTTGGGAAGACGTTAATGGCCGTGAGGATGTTGAAGGTTGAGATTCTGCAGGCTGGGAAGATGGTGGAATATGTGCTGTGTTTCCAAGAGGTAATCTGCTGAATCAAGGAAATAACCTTAATCACCGATTTCATTTGTTTTAATAAATTGATAAAAAATAATGATCTGCAACAATTACTACTGTTTTAGATGTTGTTTGAAAAAAAATTCTCGTTCCATTACTGCAATTTTCATAAACATGCGAACTCTGTGTCTGCGATCTGCACGCTGAAATTTGGTTTTTCGCTGCCGCCAGTCTAAAAAATGAAAGGTGCTAATTGTAAGGTTTGATTGACGGCAGCAAAAAAAAAACAAAAAACAAAAAAACAAATTGCGTTCACACGAAGAACTACACTTTTTTCTACACTTACCCATCGTATGATGAAATGAAGTCTTTGATACACCGACTGTAACACTGCACACATCTACCATACAGTTCTGGACACGCAGGATTTGGACACCCAATAGTCTGACAAGCATTGGCCGCAGGTGGCGGCGACACAGCTTCGCTTCGAGRAGGAACTTCAACATTTCTTTCTGCAGCGAAGGACTCCATCTCTAGACAGAAGCTTCTGTAACATCTTGAGCAGAAGTCCTCTTGATGAGGTAGACCGAAGAACTGGCAGCCATTACTGCTGTTTGCACACGGTTTGGCTTGGATGTTCATGGATATTATGCTTGCTGTTTGTCGTTCAGCTTCCATCTCTGCGTCGTGGCATCGGAAACACAAGTTTCCAGTTTCTACATTTCCTTTGTATTTACAGCCATTTGTTATGCATTGCACTTGCTGTGCCATTTGCTTTTGTTGCTGCTGTTTTGCAAGCTCCTTTGTTTGTTGTTGTCGCTGCAGCGGCTGTCGTTGTTGTTCCATAAGCTCAAATTCACGTTGTTGTTGTTGTCGYATTTGTTGTTCAAACTCTTGATTCTGCTGCTGCTGCCGTTGTTGTTCCTGCTCTTGTTGTTTTTCTCGCAGTTCCTGCTGTCGTTGCTGTTCTATTAGTTCAAATTCACGTTGTTGCTGTTGTTGAATAACGCCAATTGGTTGTTGATCTTGGTTCATTGTTTGTTGCCGTTGTTGTTGTTCCTGTTGCTGTTGTATCACTTCCATCATTTGTCGCTGCTGTTTCTCATCTGTTCTTTGGGGAACCTCTTCCCTAAGAGTATTACTAGGTAAAACGAACGCCTCTTTTTTGATTCCAGCACTGGCACCAGTATTTCTCCAAGGGGCATTCTCTTCTCTCAAAGCAGTTTCCATATTGTGAGCCACCAGAGCTGCTTGTTTTCCATCATTCTTTAAATACTTTTCCAGACACCCTGAACACATGAACGACGTTTCAGGAGTCCCAAAAAACTCACATCCTTCGGTTCTACATGGTTTCAGATCATGAAAAGGAGTTTCACCACCAGCAGCTTGGTGTTCTTTCGTTTGAACCAYGTGTAGATAGGTTTCCCTTGCACGTGTGAAAAAACCTTCCACGAGTGTCTTGATAGGAGCAGGCGGTGATACAAAGTGCATCTTTGCAGCTAAGGTCACAGCCAAGCTTCCTTCCTCAGGATCCTTGTACGTGAGTTTTTTGCAATCCAGATACTGTCGTAGAAGTCCATCAGTCAATTCTTCCTCATTTGCAAATAAAAAATGAATTGGTAGTGGAGTACCATCATGTTTTTGAAGAGGAACTCCATGGATTTTCTCTGACATTTGATTAAAACCATCCATTACTTCGCCTTGGTCAAAGACTCCATCTTCAAAGCTCACTATTGCTGTGAAATGCCCTTGTGCAAATCCAATGACCAAGGGGGTCTTGACACAATCAACCGGGTCCCAATTTAACGGCAGATAAATCCCAGCGAAATTTACCGGTGAGAGGGATTCATCATAGTTCCCTCGAAGAGTGTCAGTTGAAACCACAATGATTGTCCGCCTGAGGACATTGGCAAGAACAAAAATATGAATCTCCTCAAGACTGCCGTACTGCATGCCATTATGCCCTATGGGGTATTCTTCCTGAGATACCAATTGCAGCACTATTTCCCATTCTCTATCCCATTGCTGTTCAGTCATGCTGTAACCATACGTCCTCAGGTTTAACATTTCTTGCTCTCTTTGCCAGCGCTTGTGGAATATGCCTGAAAAGTACACCAAAATGCTGATTAAATACTGAATGTTGTAATAGCTGTCAAGGCAATTTACGATCTTTATATTACACTGAATCGAAATATGGCAACCAATTGGAATAAATATTATTCTGCACTGACTAGCAACTGACTAGCCTCGTGTTCACATTGAAACATAAAAGCATTTTCACATGTATGAGAGGCTAGTCTATCGCTAGTCAGTGCAGGATAATAGTTATTCAAATTGGTCATCATATTTGATTCAGTTATCTTCATAACTGATTAATATTTAAAGACCAAATAAGTAAGTAAGGATGTTAAAGACCTTTTACAACACTTTATGCTTGATGGGCCAAATCCACTTGGATGTAATGTTTTCCTATTTCAGACCACATGTTATTCCCTAGAGTATTATTTCTTTGTTTAATGGCTGCACAAAGGAAGATACATGAATATGGATATGACTCAAACAAAAAATCTTATTCTCAAGAGAATAACAAGAGAGTAGTCTTAAAAACATTATGCATTAGCAAAAAAATTACATTAAATTAGGAAAACATTACGCTCAAGTGGATTTGTTGCAAGTACATAAGCATAACATGAGCAAACACAGATACAGCCTTTCACAGTTAGTTGACCCTTTTATCTTTGGAAAGGGAAAGAGCAAAACAATCAGTCAACCCTTTAAAAAATGTACTATCTGTACTTGCATGTGTYGTTACGCTTATGCTTGCATCCCTAGTGAAAACTAAGTTTAATTTTACAACAGTAGATCTGGGTCAAATAGATCACTAACCTTTCATTAAGTATGATAACGATGTCCGATGACACCTATTATTTTCAATTGAGCCCCCTCCCCCCCCCCCTTAAAAATTTCTGGATTTACCCTTGCTTCGTAATCTTTAATAAGAAGATTATTAATACTGCTGGAAGTTGGAACAAACTCTTTTCCTTCCTGTTAAATATTAAATAAATCTGCATATTCGTTAGGGAAATCCCCAAACATCAAACCGTCCCAAGGTGTTTTCATTTAAACAATACAGAGCGTTGTCACCGAAAAAAACCCGAAAAAAGTTTCAGTTCAGGATCGTGCCAGATTGAACACCAGCCAAGAAAAATTACCCTGCCTGTAAACCTCTGCCAAGCAAGGAAGGTATTTTAAGATTAACGCTATAAGCAATAATGTTTCTAACTCGATGAATCGAATTCTCATCTAGTATGTGAATAATATGGTCTACAAAAATCCTTGCCACATCTTCTAATCCTATAATACGTACCCTCTGTGTCCTCCAAGAGAGCATCGTAAACCATCTTTCGTAGTGTATGGTATCGATCATTGACAGCCCACATTCCAATCGAGGCAGCGTGCATTAAACAATTGCCATCTCCCAGAGTTAACACAGGAACCAATGGAAAAAGCGATGGGCACCAATTCAGCATCTTATTCTCCTCCAATTCTTTATAGATTAGCACATCTAGAAGATAACTGTAGAGAAACTTCTTGAAATCCAAGGTCAGGTCTTTGAAGCTTCTGAGAACGAAGGTGTATTCGCTCGAGTGTCCGAGGTGGCAATGTTTCGTCTCATCTTCTGGAGAGACAATGTCCCCTTTGATGAGCTCCCTCACTCTTAGAGACGAATCCAGATCGTTAAGCGAAATGCTTCTCTCGAAATTCGGTGTTGAACTAGCCATGTTTAAACATGCAAAGCTAATAAATCATAAAACGAATAGAATAATTTTTAATGCGTTGACGAAAATTTGGAGTCAAAAATGTTAGTTAAAAGTGGAGTTAAAAATGTTCATCGCCAACATTATATACCAACTTGTCATACAACTCCAAAATATCCTACAACAGTGAACTTAACTTTTATACTCACCATTTGCGTCAAGGACTTCCTTCTTTCTTGTTTTACGTCCAAACGGTTGAATTTGGTGATGACGATGCTGAAACCAGTACAAGGGAAGAATCCTAAAAGGGGCTTTTAATCGCCTCCTCAATCAAAAAATATAAACCGTTATTTGCYGTAACCGACGATGTTTATTTGTAGGATATAACAGAGATGAGCCAACACGCATTCCCAGTATAATGAAAAGGTTTAATTTAGGAGTTTCTTCTTATTCCTTTTCAGAGCGCTTTGTAATAAGCCAAACTTTAGTAGGGAGTTTTTTAGGGGAATCCCCGAATGGCTAATAATAGCACGAGGCAATAATCAACCAATGAAAAGCCTGGAATAGAACAGGTGACATGAAAGTGAAACCACTGTCAATTTTAAATAAGGAGGGAGGGGAGGGATAGCTATCGGAACCAAATTAAAAAATCTTCAAAATTATCATTTACCGTGTTAAAGCTAAAGCAAAGTTGACCTGTGAATTAAATATAAGATTTTTGTTCTCTTGAAATCTTTTTAGGAAATTATTTTATCTCGGGGGGTCAAAAAAWAAGCCTTGAAATCACTTCCTTTGTAAACAAGTCAAAAATCCCTTCCCCTCCACAGAAGCTTTTCTATTATTTGTCCCTCCCGACCCGGACTAGTTTTTATTCTTTTTCATAAATGACAGTAACGCCTGTTGAAAAACTCATTCTGGCAAAATTTTTTCGTAAATGTAAGTAAAATCCGGCCGAAAAGATCTATATTTTAACTCTTGATCTCAGTATTTTTCAAGTATATCTGTATCCTGAATTATCTTCATATGAAGYCTTTGTTCTATTTAATACTCGTGTTTTAATACTCGTGATTTAATGAACGGAAACAAGTGTGATCTCATTGTAGCAGGTCCAGTACGTGTCAGGTGACATCCACAGTTGTGTGTCGAAGCACGTCTAAAAGTAAGTAAATATTGGAATATAAAAATTAACCTTGGCTTCTAATTCATTTTATTTTCCAATTTCGAAATAGTATTTTGGTTTCTTTTTACGTTTAGTTTCTTACAGAAAACTAGTATTGGTGCCTGCAAATTACGGCTATAGAATATCCTGCCAAATGAAAGCCATTTCTAAGGAATGTGCGTAGCCTACTTGGTGATTAATTCTTCATATGAATTCTCAGTTTATTTTTCATCGCATCTCTCTGTCTATGCAGCCAACTCAGCCTACGCGCCTACGCAGCCTACACGCCTACGCAGCCTACACGCCTACGCAGCCTATGCACCTACGCACCCTTTGTTTATTCCTACAAAGCCTTCCCCAATCCTAACCCTAAACCTAACCCCAAGGTACTCCATTGTTTATTCCTACAACGAATGCGTAGGCATGTAGGCAGCCTACTATAATACTTTTCCTTGCGGGGTATTTTCTAGTTGTACCCAAATTTTCATAAAAATGAACTCTGTACATGCTATTTGCCCCTTGGAATTTGGTTTTTCAAAGCCTCCAGTGAAAAATATAAAAAGGTACCGACTGATTAGTTTTGATTGACAGCAGTGAAAAACAAAATTTCAGCATGTGGCTTGCAGCTAGTGAGTTTGCATCCCATTCATGAAAATAGCAGTAACGTACTAAATATAAAGAACAGCACTTTTTAAAATCATCTAGTTTTATTTTTCTTAACAGGCTTACTTTTTTACACTCTAGAAAAGTAAAAGTCCTCTTTTTGGAACGAAAAAAGAAGCCAAAACAAGATTAAATAATTTATTTATTACTTTACAACTAGACTTTTTTAATATAATTTTAGGCTTAGTTATAGAATTCCAAGCGCTTTGATTGGTTGAGCAATTTGTGATTATATATATACTGTATTATATATTATCACAATATTCACTGCTCGAGCGGTGATTATAAGGTTTGACAAAGTTTGCCAGAGCAGAAGTAAGACCAAAACACATTTTTTTAATCCTGAATTTCCTCTTTTCTCTGTTATTCAAGTTCAAAATTTTACTAAATAATAATTCACCTCAGCCTCAGTGAATATGGTGAATATTTACCTTACTGCTCAAAGACTTGCAGCTCAGTAAATATTCACCTATTTTAACTTTCCCTAATTCAGTGAATAATCATTTWAAAATATACTGACTGCATAATATTTTACTACAATGCAGGTTCTAGAGGATCACTTGGTGTTTTGTTTGACAATTTGAAGAATAATTTGAATAAAATGGCAGATTCTAAAGGAAAAGTTGCCATTATTGGAAGGTATGGTAAATGCATTTGCTTTATAATAGAGACTTCAAAACAATGTTGAATTTGAAGCACAGTAAATGTGGAGTTTTATGAAAAAAGGATGTAGGGGGAATTTCAGTCCAGATAGCAGATGAATGAATAGAGGAATTCACTCCTCTTCTAGACCCCGTGGGAATATTTGACTCTGCATCAATYTTCACTAGGCCAAATTAACCAAAGCAAGGCCCAAAATGGCCCAAAAGGCAAGGTCGTAAACAGGAAAAAAATCCTATTTGTATTTTTTAGCTTAGTGCACAAAATAACTATGTCTTTAATGATTATTTCTGTTTATTTTTCTTCATTTTTAGTGGCCTCATTGGAAGATGTTGGTCAACAGTAAGTAGAACATACTATTACTTGTTCTGCTCCACCTTCTCCTTCTCTTCTCCTTCTCCTTCTCCTTCTCCTCTTTCTCCTCCTCATACCAAAAATGGTCATGATGTATGCACAGTTAAGTGCAACTAAATCTGTCCTTCTCAGTTGTTTTGCAGTGCCGGGTACAGTGTTGTTCTTTATGACACTGTTGCCAGCCAGCTCACAAGTGCCATGGAAAGTATAGAAAACCAGTTGAACCAGCTAGAAGAGAAAGGTTTGATGAAACGTGAAATTAAGACAGCAGCTGAAGCTTTCAAACTTGTTTCTTCTTGTGATGATCTGGAGAAAACACTGGATGGAGTGTTTTATGTCCAGGTATTATTGTCATTGTCATCATCATCATCACTTCTATTATTACCACAATTACCACCCATCACCATCATCATCACCACCAAAACCACCATTATTATCATCAAAACTATTGTCATCATCACCATCATCTTTATTTTAATTAACAATTATTTGCTGAAGGCAAAGTGATTATCGGTGGATATTTACCGAGCCACAAGTCTTTGAGTGGYRAGGTAAATATCACCATAATCACTGATTTTTTTTTAGCATAATTTTAGACTTGAATATCAGAGAAAAGTTGAAATTCTGGATAAAAAAATGTATTAGTATTACTTCCGATCTGAAAAACTTTGGAAAACCTCATAATCACCACTCCAATGGTGATTATCGTCTCAGAATCACTGGCTGCTCGACCAATCACAGCTCGAGAAACTCTATATTCAAGTCTAAAATTATACTAGTTATTGATATTGATATTAAACTAACAAAAATGCAACTTGGTTGCTTGTATATGATGCTTCATTTTAACCCATACTTGTCATACCTTCTACTTAATAAAAAACTGAAATGAAATGAGATGAGATGAGATGAGATGAGATGACTTAAAAAAACTGAAATGAGATGAGATGACTTTAAAAAAATTGAGATGAGATGAGATGAGATGAGATGACTTAAAAAATTTGAAATGAGATGAGATGAGATGAAAATGAAAATGAAAGCCATATACATGACCATTATCTGCATTATAATCTAAACAGTTATATATAATCATTCGATTTACTTTTAGGAATGCACTCCAGAAAATCTTGATCTTAAAAAGRAAGTCTTCTCTAGCCTTGATCAAAGGGCAACTAACAAAGACATTATCCTTGCAAGTTCTTCATCTTGCATTGTGCCATCCAAGTTCACTGATGATCTCAAGCTCAAAACTAGATGCCTTGTAGCACATCCAGTAAGTTATGGTTGTATTCTAATTTTTTTCCAAAATCCAAAATATTAATTATCGGTTCAATGGCTTTGACCATTAGTGATATAAAATGATAATCAGCATTTTATTGCAGTAAATTGAATTGAGGCATAAATGTTTCATAAACTATTTCATAAACTATGACGAAGGCAAAARTATTGGTGTTGGTGTTGGTGAAGTATAGCTAGTTGCTGTGAGGTTAGCTATTGTCATTATTATGCCAACCAGAGATCAATTCACTGACAAAACAAAGCAAGTTGGCAAAAACTATTGTGATAATGGYTGACAAATTARCATCACAATGCTAATGTTCATAAACACCAACAAGTGCTATTGGTAATTTGTTGGTAAAATGTTAGCAAAGTCTGAGTCAGCCACTTGTTGACTGACTGACATTTGTTGACTGATAATAAAGTACACGAAATTACCCAATTCTAGTATATTACAATCCAAGGTGGATCCAGGGGGTGGATTGGGAGACTCACCATCCCCTCCTTTGAAATTAAAAAATGCTATGTAATTCTAGGTACAGAAAATTTAAWTTACGATAGATGCATTTTTCACACGATCTTCGTAATAATTTTGAAAAAATTAATTAAAATTGTCATCAATATTGTAAATATCTTTATTTAGTAAAAATACACAGGTGATTATTGAAAATCTCCTGCGATGATTGGTCGAGAAACTCACACAATCACATGATAATCACCTCCAGCAACAATCCAAAATGGCGGCMAGCTGCTTTGCTGTTACCAGAAARAAATGTCTTTTATCTTCTTTTTTTCCTTTTTTTTGAAAGAATCACCTGTGTATTTATGCTAAAACARTTATTTGCCTCAGSCTCACCCTTTACTAATTGTAAACAGTAAACTTCTTTGAATACTGCACAAAAAAACTGTTTTTTCATGGTTATTRCAAAAACCTCAGTATACYGGAACTCCGGCGAAACYGGAAATTTTTATTGGTCCCAGCACTGTCCGGTATAGGGGAGTTTTACTGTAACAGCCACCCACCCTAAAATTGTTCTTGATCTGCCACATACTGTATGACATTACTTGTTCATTTTTACAGGTAAATCCCCCAAACTACATCCCCTTGGTAGAAGTAGTTCCAGCCCCATACACAGACAGCTCAGTGGTTGAAAAGACAGTCACTCTGATGAAAGACATTGGACAGGCACCCATCGTTGTGAAGAAGGAAGTCAATGGTTTTATACTCAACCGATTGCAGTATGCCATCATCATGGAAGCCTGGAGACTTGTTGAGGTAGGCAAACATAGAATAGTCCCTTGATTGTATCCTATTATTATCACCATCTTCAATATCATCACCATCACCACCATCATCATAATCATCATCACCACCATCATCACCATCATCATCACCATCAGCATCATCAGCATCACCACCATCATCATCACTACAATCATCATCACCATCACCACCATTATCATCACCACCACCACCATCATCATCATCACCATCACCACCATTATCATCACTATCACCCTCATTACCATCCATCATTACATCCTATCATCATTGTCATCAATATCAGTCCCTATCATCACCAAAACACAAGGCCAAAAAAATTGGTCATGAAATAACAAGTACTCAGATATAGAGATTAAAATTGTCTAAAATTACAAAACCGTAAAATTCAATTCCTTGTTTATTCATGAGAATAAAAGATGTTTGAATTCACTTGACCAGGATGGAGTGTGTAGTCCAGAGGATGTTGACACAGCCTTCACTCAGGGACTTGGATTGCGGTATTCYTTGATTGGTCCTCTGGAAACCATGCACCTTAACGCTAATGGTTAGTACGAACTCAAACTGAAGCCTAAACTAACTTTATTTCGTTAAAGAGCATCCAGCTGATCTAAGAAAAATGTTAGCCAACCAGAATCGAAAAAAACTGAGATGTCGCTTTTCCTTTTGAAATTATGGATTTAGTTTCAAGCCACCGAATGAAAAAAAAACCTTGCTAATAAGTGCTCGATAAAAGTGAGAAGTTTTTAATTTTTTAATGAAATGTCGGACATGTTTTYCCCCCGCTTGTCAATAAACACCTTGCAGCACTTTGGAATGAGCTCATTTTGAAGGGCAAAACAATAGGTTTCCAATTTTCAGGAAATTGAAATTCTTTCGTTTTGTCCTTCAAATTGAGTTCCTTAGACGCCACATGCAACGCACACGCTTCATGACACATCAGTTTTGCAGTGACGTCATTTCTACGTCGCTATTTCAGATCAACCTGATGCAGGATTGCTCTATCTGACTAGAATTTCTGCTAAAATTTTCTTATTATTTCCGAAAGCTAGTAACGTCGTATTATTACATTATGATTGGACTATTCCTGGATTCTGATTGCTCGACGCGCGGGCTGTATTTTGCGTATCCAGGCCGGTGCCCCGGATGTTCAAAGTTTGTTTGGCTTTCGTCATTGAACTGGTGCTTTTGGTGAAATTTCCGGTATACTCGAAAACGCAAAAATATGAAAAAATGGTGTAGTCATAAAAAATAATCTTTAGAAATATCATACCTGAGAGCATCCAGTCAGCAATTCTTCGTTTGCAATAGACGTCATAGCCGCCATGTTGGAAGAATTTGACAAAAGATTTTTCAATGAATTCTTTTGTTATTTCTTCCAACATGGCGGRCATCCCTTTTGTTATTGTGCTCTCTTGGGATTGATTGCAAACCAAGAATTGCCAGCAACGTTTCTGAGCTTACATCTAACCTAGAATCATGWTTTTGCAGGTGTTCGTGACTACTGTGAAAGATATGGAGCAAATRTCGAGAAAGTCTGTGAAGAGGAGGGTAGTCCCAGGCCTCTTAGTGGTCCCACGTTAGATAAACTCGAGGAGGCCTTTGCCCGAGAGATTCCACTAGAAAAACTTAACGAGCGACGAAAATGGCGGGACGAAAGGCTGGCRGCTCTCACTGTGCACAAAATGGAACAGAAAGAAAAGGAAGAAAAGAAAGGAAATAATTGATTAAAAAAATATTAAGTTTTTAATTATTATTTTTTTCTTAACAAAAATTTTTTTAACATTGATACTTTCATGAAAATAGGGAGATGTGCGAGGGAATCGAGGGATAAATCATCTAATAAACAGTCACGTGACCAATTGCCGCCATATTGGATTTTTTGTGTTTCAATTTATCACATGACCAGGTAATAAATTTACTAAGTTCAAAAAAAAAAAAATTCACTCGCCGAAAAAATCGTATTTAAACTTGTTTTTCATGAAGCTAGATTAATTATGCTTGCCTCTTACTCAGGGTATATTCTGCAAAACTCAGTGACAATTTTCAATCCAAAACGGAACTTGAAACTAAAAGAGGTTAAAAATTACGTTTCCAGCACTCAAAAAAATAAGATGTAGCGGCCATCATTACATGTAGTTTTTGAAATTATTTTTGTCTTTTTTTGCTCATTATCAATTAAAACTTTCAAAATGTCTCTTAGGATGAATATAAAATTCTATTTTTAACTTAAAAACCTAAAGATAAAGTTTTAAATATTTTGAATTTGGTTTATTGAGATTAGGGTCACCGGTTCGTGAAGGTGTTTTCTAAACCAGTTGCTTTTCTGKCCTTTTCCTCTCACAGCTTGATTATTCGCCTGGTTTTCGCTAGAACCTTGGCCTTGAAGTACCACATTGCAATCCCAAGACGTGTGGGATTGCTCGTTATGATCTTGCTTTGAACTACAGCACAGCAATGCTTTTTTGAATCCAAGACGGAATTTTTCGTTAAAAGTCGCGTAAATACAGGGATTTATGAAGCAGTTTAYATTGTTTATAAGCGCGGTTATCGATATTCCCCAAAACTTTTCCTCCGCTGTCAAGCTATCTGGGTGGAAAAACCGGACCAACAGGTAAATCTGGATTGGCAGCATGCAAAGTGCAAAGGATATCACCACGGTGATCATCATCTTGGTCACATGACGTGATGTCTTGAGCGCRTGCGCTTGAGAYACCTCGAGTGGATTTCCTGGGACACGACGCATGTACAAATTTCGTCCAATGATGGCGTAAAGGGTGCTCATGATTAATAATGGAATAATGAACGTCACGACGAAGCCAACGAGGATATAGAGCTTGCTGAAGCCTGTTGCCATGACGACGACACAAAACGAAGCTCCGCTGTCCAGTGTGATCAATTTGTAGGACTTCATCGGAGGGATGCACACAGAAATAGACAGAATCCATATGGCAAAGATGATATATTTGGTCTTATCAGAAGTGGCCCTTCTCTTAAGGGGGCGCACTACCGCATGGTATCTGTCTATCGCTATGGCAACAAGGCTGAGAACTGAGCAGGCGACAGACACCAGTCGGGAAGACATGACCACCTTGCACGTGATCAGGCCAAAGTTTCCTCCGAGCCACGAGTATCCGATGTAGAGTTGGATCACCTGAACAAGAAAAATTGTTAACTTTTAGCTAGCGTTTCGAATAATTTTTTTTTACTTTCGGCTAAGTACTTCTCATATCATTGATTCTTTATGCCAGTACAATCTTTAAAACGAGATCCGGCGTTTCTTCAGTCAGMACCTCTTGTTTATAATTCTCGGTGCTGACGCAGAGGATCGCAGGCTCCGAGGAAGCTTGGTGACAAAAATAATTCTGAAACGGAAGTACTTCATGAGATAGTTTCTAAAAAGAAGTTTTCTGTCAAGACTTACCTGAGATGGAATGAAAAGCAAAGCGATCAGTAAATCTGAGACTGCCATATTGACTATCAGGATATTAGTTGTAGTACGCATGCGGACATTTGACCGCACGATGTGGATCACCAGTATGTTACCTAGCAACGCTCCTAGCAACACTAAACCATTAACTGTTGTTAGAGAAGCTTTGATGGCGGGTTTTACGCTTGGAGCAGAAAACATATGATAACTGACGCTCTCTGGAAAAAGAGATATTAAAATCAATTATATAATCATGTGATCCAAATCTGATTGGTTTAATAAATGATTCTAAATGACTGCGCATGCGTGCAAGTATTGCTTTAAACATGYGTACACAGAGCCTTTTTTCCGTCGGACATGCGCAGTAAGAAATAAAGGCTCTGGGTACGAAATTGGTATGCGTATTGCAAAATGTTTTTCTGACAATCTCGTACCCAGAGCCTGCGCTTCTTTTGGCCTGYGGCGAAGAACGAGGGCTCTGGCATAATCCATTTTTGGAGACCARGTTTTCTTGRACTTCCGGTATAACGGCGCACGCGTTCAAAGACTTGCCAAAAATTAAAAATATTTTTTYCCCGATTTTYAATTTATACTAAGATTTTKACTTTGATTTAATTTTTACTTTGATTATATTTTGACCGTTTATATCTAACTTTCCGAAAATTGCGCATGCGCCAAAATATGGATTATGCCAGAGCCCTCGTTCTTCGCC